CTAATGTCATTGAACTTCCCATCCTTTATTCCTCAGCTGTCTCTGGTATCTGTTTGGAATACGCATCAGACAGAGCTTGTTCAATGTGCAGGATATTGGTCTGACTGGGTAAGACGAATACTTAATCTCCATAGGAGTTCTTTATTCTCTGCCCTGGCAGAGGCCAATTTTCTTTTCCCTGATTGGTTTGTTTCACAGGCAGTTATGCTATATGGATGATTTCTTTGGTTGCTTTTATACTTATTTATGCTGGAAATTAAAGAACAAAACTATACTGCTATTCTTGAAACCTAATTGACATTCTCTCCTGTGGTATTATGCACATGATCTATGTCAAGATAACTTGAAGCTGTTGCCCAGTACCTGGTGATGAGTTTTTACATTGCAGCAGTGCAATGTACAATTGAAAGGGTAGTCCGAGTCCTCCCTGGTCAAATGTTCCTAAATCTTTTGTCACAGTACTAAGAGTTATGAAAACATTAGCAATAGCTATGGGGCAGAGCAGGAGGGGAACCAGATAGCCAGACAGCCTATTCCTTTCAGCAGCAGCTTAAGCCGACTGTAAAATCTCATCCCAAGTGGACTGTGGATTTGCTGTCCACTAGCAAGTCAGGCACAATACCAGAAAAAATTCTTGTGCAGTGCCAATGCCTAGACTTCACAGAGAAGTTGGTATGTATTAAGGTGTCTGACCAGAACCTTCTACTCTCCTAATTTCTAGTACTGTAGGCACTTCAAACAAAATAAACAAGGAGAAATGAAATTGATTGCTCCTACTGCCAGGGAATGACTGTCTAAATTTACCTCCCAATGTACACATAAATGAAGCATTAGTAACTACAATAAACTTGTTTACGGATCGGTTTGTTTATGCAGCCTCAGAGTAAGTAGCCCTCTAAAGCAGAAAAGCGAGATAGTAGAATTTCTACACCCACCACAACATCTGGCAATTCAGCCTGTGAATATTGAGATTATTGTGCCAAGGCTTTAGCTGTCCAGGGTACATGCAGTGCTATTTTTCAAGGATTCAGACACTGTACACAGTGTTTGAGCTGTATCTATTTGTTTAACTTCCTCCTGTTTAAGCACCAAAGAAGAATTTGCATCTTGTTTATTTTGAAGGGTGAAAATTAACAGCTCTTGACCGTACTTGTATAAATCAATGAAAAGCCACAGTCTATGAACACACCGCTCTACTTGGTTTCGGTTCAGCTTCTTAGGGCTTGACAAATGCTGCTTATAAGCAAGTCAGTCCATTTGCATACCTTAAGATTATAGAGTACCTCATTGTAGGTTTATCCATCTGTTTCTGGCCACAATCAGGGTTTTGATATTTCTGTATATTTGATATCATTTTGTAAAGCCCAGTTTAGTTTTTCTTTCAGGAATGGCTATTTGCAACTGTTATATTACTGTACTTTTATGTTCTAAGTCTTGCATCTAAACACCACAGGCATTTGTTTTCTGTGCATCTATAGCTAATGGAAAATATAGACATGCTGTTTTTCCTCACTGTTGCAATTGTTTCACTAGAGGTGGATTCCTAGCAATTAAATTAGTCCTAATAGTTAATAAAGCTCTGAAAAAGCCAAAAACTAGGAAGAGGGCATGTCAGCCCTGTTAGGAGGCGAAAGGTTTCTGCAGGCAGACAGGTCAACTTTGATGTTTTCATTTTTACAGTGATAAGACTCATAACAAATCTGTTGATTTTTGTGATCTCGTACTCAAGTGATATTGCTGTAAATCTGTCTTGCAGCTTTTAGTGTAACTTAGTCAAAGCCAAGCTGTTTTTTTAAATGATTTTATTTTTTCTTCAGGGTCAATTTTGTACTTTTTTTAAATTATTTCTGCATTTACTGAGTCATTATCTCAATGCTGCAGAGGACGCAGCAGGCAGAACAGCGAGCGTACCCACACCACTCTCACCAACCAGACTGTGCCGGGGAGCTGGAGTTGCTCAGGCACTGGTCTGAAGCACACAGCAGTCTTTGGAAATGTGCAGCTCCAGTTCCCCTACCCTCTAGTTCAACCATGGCGTTATCCAGGCACAGAATGGTACGGCAAGGGCAAGGATGGATGTGGAGAGGCTCAACTGCCACATATGCTGTTAGTTCTGAATAATTTGTAAGAGTGTTATGAATTTTGTAAACTTTTTAATGTGCTAAAACTTGGTTATGAGGTAACATTTACAAATAAGGGGTAATTTGTGTACTTGTTTTTGTATTTTGGTCTGATGTTCTTTTTTGTTGTTGTGCCCTAAGTCCAGATCACTGGGCAAATAGTTGTTAAACCTTTGAATTAAAATAAATAAATGCATTTTAATGGATACTGTACAGTTTTGTTATCATTCTAATTGTGCCAGGCACTGAGTCTGTCTTGTTTAAGACTTTTTAAAACCAGATAGGAAAACCAAAATTGGCTTTCCACTTCAATTTGTAATATTAACAGTTAGAGTCACAGAAGGACTTTAACTGATAGCTAATCATCAAATCAGATAAGAATATGAATTCTCCCGTCAAGCAGTCTGTACTGCTAGATGTAGTCCACTTTGCACATAGCAGTTTCTGTAAGTGAGAACAATGATTACCGGGATTTCTGGAAGTTTTAAGCATTTAAGTACAACCTGTGCCTGTGATCTGTCAATCAACATGACCCAAGCCTGAGTTTACTGGCAGACCTCACTGTAGGACATCATAGATCCTTTAATCACTGTTTAAATATTCCCTGTCCATGTCTTTCAGGTAAAGAGCTCAGGAAACAGCATTATAGTGTTATGATGCTTTCTTTACGCTTCTGCTGCTGTTCTTGCCATGACTTTGGCAGGCGTCTTTTATTTCCTGTTCTATGTCACTTTAGTAGAAGATCATAGAACATGTACAGAGGTTTTCAGCTCAAAACTTTGTTCAGAAAGCTACTGTAATTAAGGTACTCAATCTTATACCATAGGTGATGGCAAAGTCGTTTTAATGCACTTCAGAATCTGGCTGTAATTAAAAATACATTTAAATAGACTGCAGTAATGTTGTGAGCCAGTACATCTCAGACAAGCAGGTATTTATTTCATTGTGTAAGCTTCCTGGCAAATACTGTTCCTGCAAAAAGAACGTACTGGATCTGCCCACCTGTATTATTATATATGTTATAGAAGTTTTAAGTTTTCATGCAGCTGAGGAACAGAACCAATTCTCCAGCTTAATTTCTCTTGAACAGTCTAAAGACTGATACAACAGCTTAAGTAGAAATCTAGTACGAAGTGCTTTATGGAAACCTGAGATGAATTTGCAAGTAATTTCCTTTTTCAGGCACTGCTAATTATCCTTTGCATCTCTCTGTAACCCTAATTGTGAAGTCAGCCTTTCATTGTTTAAGACCAATAAGCAAGTTTCCACCTCTGAAACATCTTAATACTCAGTACTATTTTGCTAGTTTGATTTTTATGGTGTGATAACTACATAGCTAGCTAAAATAGCAAGAAGAGTGGGAACTTTTGGTAGCAGTTTTAACTAGCTATACATCTCAATGGACTGTGAGTTTTAGGTAGGTTTTACCCAATTCAGACTAACGATCCCAAATCTGTGAGGTACTAAAACAATGGAAGCTATTTACTGAGGCAGGTTTTCCCTTCAGAGGTTTGGGGTTTTGTTTTTGTTTTTTTTTTTTAATCTTCTAAATCAAGCCTTCAAAGCAAGTGGAGTAATGGCTGCATCAGTCTTCAACTTGTAAAGGTTACATGGATTTTATTGGTTTGTTTTCAAAGACTCTGCACCTACAGACAGGAGATCTATTAATATTGAATTAGTCAAAGGCAAACAAAACCACTTCTAAAATCAGATCTGAATTCCAGGGAGATGTTAGAAATTTCTTGCTTTGTCTCAGGAATTACCCTACAGAGGAAATAAATAATACACTCCCTTCAACTCAGACTCGGTAACAAAAAGTCTCTCAGTGCACTAAGAAGGTGGCTCAGGGAGCAAAATTCTCCAAGTCAGTTTTACCTGAGTACTTTGTTTTGTCATCAGCTGGATTGCAGGTTTGTGGCTTCACAGGAACATGCTCCTTCCCTTCTCAAATACGAGATCTCTTTGGTATCTGCACTGCTATCCATACCAACGCAGAGGGTTGCCGAGGCTTCCTCACCCACTGACCAACACCCCAGGAAACTCTGCTACCAAGCCGGAGTTACTACAGGGACACTGAAAACTGCCCTTAATGAAATAAAGGTTCTGGTGTGCTGTTCTCTTTGGCTCTGCTCAAGTAAAACAATTTAAAAATGGCCCCACTGTGTTAAGACCAAAAGCTTTTGGGGAAGGGGAAAAAACCTCCTCCCTGTCAGTGCAAACTCTGCACTGTAATTTTTTTCCATAAAAATTAGATCAACATGACAGTCTACACATTAGCTAGGTACGGTATGCAAGATAAGATAAAGAAATCCCTCATGGCAAAGTAAGCCTCGATATTCTTTAAAATCACACCTACTGCTGTAAGTGTAAATATTATTTTAGGTGATACTTGAAGATGTTATTTGATACACAGTTTGCCACTACTCTGTTGAATAATGTTGCTACAAGTAGCATAGGCAATGTGTCGGTTACACCAGTATAACTGGTTCTGCAACAAAGTTTTGCTTCAAAAGGTTAAAACCACTTCCCCCTCCCGGAGAATAAGGAGCCCAAGCCTGGACAAAATTCCATGTTTAAAGTTAGACATAAAAAGTACAAAACTGAACTGATATAAATACTGATAAATATATTGATATCAATAATGATATAACTGATATAAATGCTGATTTAACTTGGAGTGTTTAGTGACTCGCTTCTGAATTAGACTGAAAGCTGCATGCACCTGTCCGCAATCTGTTCCTACAGCAGGCAAAATGGAGAGACAGAGTTAATCACAGAAAAATACTTCTAACACATCATCAGCCTTTAACACTAAGTGCAAATGTTTAAATAGAAAAATTGACCAAGCCGCACAATTAAGCAGAGAAACATGAAAAGAAATGGTGATTCTTTTTCCTTATTTTATTGGGTAAATGATTTAAAAGGTAATAACAATAGTGTTAAAACTACTACAATATCTTTCCACAGCCATATCTCACAGACCCACAGATAACCTTCTATTTTTTTTTTTTGCTTTTTCCCCATTTTTCTCTTTTTAAGCCGTACTTATATTAAAATGCCCATTTCAACAGTTTCTTCACACTAATAGCAATTAAATGTGGAAGGAAGGAGGATCTAGTTATAAAGGAAGGGGGATCAGGTAATCTGTGATATTATTGTAATCAATCAAGTTACTAAGAAAGGAAAAGACAGAGGCTTTACAAGCTACTCCAGGTAGCTCTAAGCCCATTGTATGTCACCATTGCATTAAAGATAACTCAAGATGCTGGTGAACAATTTAAAGTAATTCTTTTTGTAACATATAAAACACTAAAATAACTTAGAAACTAGATCCAAATATCTTGAAAAGAATCAACTTTGATATACAAAAACAGTCATAAGTTGTTACAAAAGTTTCAAACAAAAGTTTGTTTTCTCAGTGCGTTTATGTACCAGCGCAATTACTGGGTCCAGAGCAAAGAAAGAGGTTTTTATTTTTTATTTATTCTTTAACAGTAATAAAAAACGAGGAAAACATATCTTTGTATATAAAGAATCATTGCTGGTCTTAAGAATAAATGTAACCAGAAACCCTTAAATCTGAGAGGCACACTTTGGGTTTCTCTCTTTTTTTTTTTTTTTTTTAAACTTTTTTCTTTTTTTAAACATAAAAGGAAAGTCACCAGTTTATTTAAATGGAGGAGATATTCCGACTCCCCAAATAAACTTAATTCAATTAACATCACTAGCAAAAATCAGTTAGAAACTGTACAAAAATAAAAAAGTTAACACATTTAATCCTGCAGGGATTTTGTAAGGACTGGAAGGCAGGCTTTAGGAGCAGCATTTGGGCATGGCTGGAGGCTTCTTTGGTTCGATCTAACACACATAAGAGATGTAACCTACTCCAGACAACAATTTTAAAAACCCGCACATTTGAAGACAAGTAAAGAGGTCCGTATACAAACGCCAGGGTGTGCAAATGGATTTGCCTGCCTTGATTTAATAGTGTATCTGAGGTCAGAACTCTAGTGTGCCCTCCCCCTGCTATCATCAGCATTGGGGTCGAGATGGTGAGAAGTCAGTGCTACAGCAGTCTAGGCAGAAGGAAGGCCACTTGAAGCATGACTAGGTAATAGTTTCATGTCAAGTCTACAGCTTTGTCGTCTTAATTCAGTTTACAGAACAGGGTTTTTAGGAACATTAAGCAAAAGAATTAAAAAAACCCCCAACAATCTCTTGAATGGAATAAGGCAAACTGTGTAGTGCTCATAAAAAATTAGCATTCCAACTTAAACAGTGAAATAAGCTACTTGGTTGTACCTTAACTTCTTACAAAGTACCCCAAATTAAGACAAAAAAAAATTTAAAAATCTGTAACTAAACCTAGCAATATATCTAAAAGGGTACTAAACATAACTATGAGGGAATGACATTTGTGAAAGCAATTGTTGCTCAGCTTTAAGCGAACAGACCTATTCTGTCCCAGTGCATGTCACAGTGAACTGCACGTTTTGTACAAATAAACCTACAATTACACAGAAACAATCCATAGCATTTTCAGCACTTGCATGCTGAGGAGGTAGGTGCCCTAGAAACACTGTAGATAGACTGATTATTCGAATCTTTTAAGAAAAATATCATACAATCTGATTGACCACAGACTCTGTAACAGTTTTTTAATTAGTGATACAAAACTCTGGTCCAGAAGGGTCTGGCATTAACTCATTCCAAAAGCACACCTTTACAGTTTGTATAACACCCTTTTAACTATATTTTTAAGCAACAGCTACTAAGAGATAGACAAAAATGCATTGTGCATTATGCTGTATACAAAAAGGAGACAAAACTATCCTTTTCTCCCCCAAGCCATGGTGGGAAGTATTGCTGACCTTGTCCTTAAAAACCTGCAGGATTGTTTATTCATCAGTATATCATTATTACACTGGTAAGAAATTCTGTATAACATCTGCATATATCGAAGATTTTTTAAAAAATCTGATATGATTTTAGATCCGCATGACCAGTCACGTGACCTGCTTGAGGTTGATTAGCACCTTTCAATACATATATATTTTTATATATAATAGATCTTTTTAAAAAACTTCTAACAATGAGCTCATACAGAAGCATGAGCATGCTGTAACGAGATGACAGATAAAGATGGGGTTGGATGACCTTTTTTTTTTTTTTTTTTTTGCAGCAGAATGATTCAGTTTGTGCTCAGTTTCCCTATAAGGGCAAGAAAAAAAAACCAACACAACTCTATCAGGTAGCCACTTGTTCACAATTTCCACTTGAAGACTAATCCATTTAAAAGTGTTCCCCAAGTAGAAACAAGACAACAGTATCATCCAAAATAGCCTCTGTATAAACATCTATTAATTTTTGCAGCCTCTGGCTGGCATCTTTTGGCTCCTGAAATTTCAGGCCCTCTGCTTATAAATTAAGGCATCACAACTGAAAATGTTAATATTTGGACATCAGATGCTGTGGATGAAGGAATACCAGAGACCTTCTACAAGAACCTCCATGGAAATTAAGTGGCAAAGCTAGCCTTGCATAAGGGATGAGCATAATTTATCTGTATCTGTTTTTGAAACCCTATTGAAACATTTTTACAATTAGTCTGATTTTTTTTTAACAACTGAATTTTAATTGATTTTATCTATTTGAATTTTATATATCTATGTATTTACAAACATTCATTATTCAAAATTACTGGAATTTCTGCTTACTGTGTTTTACTTACTCATATTAGGAAGGTCTTTTCTGTAATAGATGGCATGTATTGTCCCCTAGAATACGCACTGAACTACAACAGGTATTAGTGGGAGTTCTGCAGGCACATGAGCAAGGAGCGAGCTGCTACCATAAACTGGGCTTGCAAATATACCACGCATACCTTTTACTAATTCCTATTTTTACAGCAGGAAAAAGTTGCAATCAGTTTTCTTTCTTCTGCCGTGTGGAGGGGTATCAGAATTATTACACAGTACTTACAGCTCTCAAGTACTATTCCTGCAATAGATGAAAACATGTAAAATTATGGCATACTTGTCCTGTGCTCTTTCACAACAGTCTTTTTTCTTTTTTTTAAACAATAGTTAACTTCATCTAACTATTTATGACTTGATAAAACTCAACAAGTTCAAAAGCAGAAGAAAGAACAAAACAGGGATTTTTCTTTTCCAAAATAGGTTTGCTATAAAAAAAAAGAAAAGAAATCTCACTTTAAAAAAAAAAAATCCCCAGAAACCTGACACCAGAGCAGACTCAATATAGTTTGCTAGAATGTCTGGCATATTTGCTATATTTTTTCTATGAATTTTATATATAAGTATATAGTTATGTCATAGTCAAAGGCACTAAAATCTAAATCCGTTTTCTTCCTAATATGACATTGGCTACTCACCAACCTGTTTTTAAAAACGAATGTCACTCCTAATTTGAGATCATCAGAAAGGCATCATCTCATTACAAATGCATTATTATGACTAGTCTTGACAGGGCTGGACTGCCCTTGATTCCCAGCACAGAATGGGAGACAAAGGTATCTGGTAGCCTACTGGATTATGTCATGCCCTATCAATTAGACCACTTGATTCTGAAAATGCTGCCGTGTTAACATCACCTCTCATTGTACATGTAATTGCTTCTCTTCATCCAAAAAAGCATTTTGTATGTCAGCCTTGACGTTTTGGCTGTATGTGCTGGATCTGAAGTTCATGTACATAGCTACACAAAAATCTTTACTGTGGGGGTGAGATACTGTACGCACAACATTATTAAGAACGTTATGAAAATGCAATTCATTGTCTAGTATAATACCTGAATCTGATATGTTTCATTCCCTGTCACACCTATTAATGCAAAAGCCATGAACGCCTTTTTGCTAAGCAAAGCATCCCTAACTGTAATCCTTAAACTCTTCCTTCCATCCACAGTCACAGAAAGCCTTGATTGATATAATTCAATGTTAACAAAGTAGAAATTTAAAATTTCATAAAAAACCCAAGGGCTATATATGCTGCAAAAAAATCTGCAGTGACTCAATAATAAAAAAAGTATGGGATCTTTGTAGTAATGCAGTTTTCCCTCCCGTTGCCATGATGAGCTCAACCAACTAAGAAGCCTCAACATGGCAACGGAAACTATCATCATAAAATGGTACAGTAATAGAGATAGCTAGACCAAGAAGGGGCAGGGTCTCCTGGGAAGAGGTCTGCAGAGAGGTCCAGTGACTGGTCATGCGGCTCAGTGTCAGGAATAATGGTTGTACGGTGGAAGGGGGTGCCCAATACCATTTTGGAAGTGATGATGCTGACGATGGGCAAGATACTCTGTGTAGCTCATCGTCATCTTCTCACTACGGTACCTAGAAAAGAGCAAAGAAGCAAATTCAAGAACTGTTATCAGGAAGCTGTAAGTAGCACTGAAAATACTGCACTAGTGGTGTGTTTAATGGTAACAGCTCTGTGCTTCTGATGTTATGAATAAGACTAACTTCAGTTGCGCAAGGGCAGGGAGGGAACCGCCATGGCTGTCAGGGTCATTCTTGACTCACACGATAAATCACAACATAAGTGCTTATGAAAAATATTTTAAGCAAACAGAACCGTTAAAAATTGCTGCCTACTACGTTGCTTGAAGTAGAGGAATAGAAGCTCACGATGATTTATTGAGAATGTCCCATATCTTCAGCCAACTCTCTATATAAAACCTAGGAGAAAAACTAAACAAGCACTACAGATTTTTTGGCTGTTTTTAAACAATCAGTATCAATTGCCTGCCAAATTCTGCTATTAAAATAATCCCAGCTACATTAAATAGCATTACATTCTTTTTAGACTAGAATCATAGACTATCTCAAGTTGGAAGGGACCCATCAGGATCATCGAGTCCAACTCCCTGCTCTTCGCAGAACTACCTAAAACTAAACCATATGACTAAAAGCGTCGTCCAGATGCTCCTTGGACTTGGATGAGCTGCTCCTTGGACTTGGATGAGCTTGGTGCCGTGACCACTTCCCTGGAGAGCCTGTTCCAGTGACTGACCACCCTCTCAGTGAAGAACCTTTTCCTTAGTGTCCAATCTGAACCTCCCCTGACGCAGCTTCATCCCATCTCCTCATGTCCTATCTCTGGTCACCAGAGAGAGATCAGCACCCTCCCCGTCCCCTGCTCCCCTTGAGGAAACTGTAGACTGCGACAAGGTCACCCCTCAGCCTTCTCTTCTCCAAGCTGAACAGACCAAGTGACATCAGCCACTCCTTGTAAGTCTTGCCCTGGAGGCCTTTCACCATCTTGGTCACCCTCCTCCGGACACACTCTTAACAGTCTGATGTCCTCCTTCTACTGAGGCACCCAAAACTGCACACAGTACTGAGGTGGGACCACACCGGTGCAGCATAGAGCGGGATGATCACCTCCCTCAACCAGCTGGCTGTGCTGTGCTTGATGCACCCCAGGACACAGTTGGCCCTTTAGGCTGCCAGGGCACACTTAACTCATGTTCATCTTGCCATACACCCAAACCCCCAGATCTCTTTCCACAGGGCTGCTCTCCAAGCTTTTGTCCCCCCAGTTTGTCCATGTAACCAGGATTACCCCGTCCCAGGTGGAGAATCTTGCACTTGCTCTTGTTAAATTTCACACGGTTGGTGATTGCCCAGCTCCCTAGTCTATCCAGATCTCTCTGTAAGGCCTCTCTACCCTCAAGGGAGTCCACAGCTCCTCCTAGTTTAGAATCATCAGCAAACTTAATTGACTCCTGTGTCCAGGTCATTTATAAAAATATTAAAGAGCACTGGCCCTAAAACTGAGCCTTGGGGAACCCCACTGGTGACTGGCCACCAGCCTGATGTCACCCCATTTACTAAAACTCTTTGAGCCTGACCCATCGGCCAATTGCTCACACAACATATTATGGACTTGTCTAGCTGTACGCTGGACGTTTTGTCCAGAAGGATACTGTGAGAGATGGTATCAAAAGCTTTGCTAAAATAAAAGAACTCCACATCTACTGCTATCAACTAGATGGGTGACCTTGGCATAAAAGGAAATTAAGTTAGTTAAGCAGGACTTTCCCCTCGTGAACCCGTGCTGGCTATGACCAATGACTGCATTGTCTCTCGCATGTTTTTCAGTAAGTCCCAGAATAGCTTTCTCCATAATTTTACCAGGCACTGAAGTGAGACTGACAGGCCTGTAATTACCAGGGTCTTCCTTCTTACCCTTCCTGAAAAACGGGATGATATTTGCCAGCTTCCAGTCGACTGGGACCTCTCCAGAGTCCCAAAACGGTTGGAGAGAGGTCCCACAAGAACATTGGCCAACTATATGTAACTAAAAGCAGAATCCAGGCCCTGATAACAAATGTTTTAGATATACTTGCATCAGTATTGTTTGACAACAAGGAACATATTGCCACATTTACACTTATCTGTGGAAATGTAAAATCTACACAAAAACAACACTATTCCACATTTCCACAAATTCCACTTAGAAAGACCTTGCATAAGAGATCTGACAGATGAGGTTTGGTGAATCCAGCTACAGTGATTTAAAATATTGCCACCTCTCCTTTCTATCATATTTTTCTTCTGGAGTTGCTCTGGTTGTTCTCTCCTCTTTTAGGTCTGAAAAAAACACAACAGATGGCTCAACCACTTGCACTCACAACCCAACACAAAAGTTTAAACTACTGTGGAGTTACCAACTGCAGCAATTAAGGTGGCAAACACATTTTGCTTCTGTTGCCTCTTTGCCAGAGGAACAGAGCAGAACATCTTACACTTGCAGCTTTTTGCTTCAGTGGACACGTTTCAGAGCATCAAAGGTGCCCACGCTTCCTCGATACAACAGTGTTTGTTAATGATGTACTAATTTAACAAATGGCCACTGGTCCTTGCTGAGAGATTAGCTGCAGCTCGTCTTGAATTGCTGTGAATGGTAAGCGGCACTCTGCACTTGACGAGTAAGCTGGTCTGTGAATGAAATCCCCTGCCACTGAAACTAAACCATAAGCTTGGCAGTTAATGAAGGTTGTAAGTGGGTCAAAGCAGGCCAAAGGCTGCCTGACGAGAATCACATCTGCTCATTTAAGCAGATGGAGGAGAAAATGCAGTTACTGTCCTTACACGTTCTAGACCCTAGAATCAGTACTCTTCTTTCAGCTCTGCTGTTTTTTAGCTCTCTTCTTCAAAACGGGGCTAGAACTACTGGGTATTCACTTGAAGTGAAAATAGTTAGCAATAGATTGGTTTTGATCAGCTTAAAGCTTTATTCACGCACAGGCCATTCACTTTAATTTAGAGACTTAAAAAAAGAAGTTAAAAGGCACTTATTCCACTCTTCCAATAGATGTTTTACTGTATGACAAGAAGTTATTAAAATGAGACTCTAAAAAAAGGTTGTCCGATGCTGGGAAATGGTTACTATTTTAATACTACTGTTTATAATATGTTAGTAAAAGCTGGGGTTTTAAGCAAGTAAAATAGCCAAAAAAAATATTTCTTCTGAACATTAAAAATTATGCTTTGTTTATTCCACTTATCAGGCCAGTGATTTTGCTAGCAGTTTGGATGTTGTGAACTTAAATACACTAAACATGGAGGTTTGGTGGTTTGTTGGTTTTTTTGGGGGTGGGGAGTAGGTTTTTTGTTTGTTTTGATCTGTGCTCACATGCCATTGCTCCAAACAAAATCATGTAGCTGAAAGAAAACATGTGCTATATAGAATTTTTGTTTCTTGGAAAAATATATTCCTTATTTATTGAGGTGTGCAGAAATTGTCATTTAAGTACTATAGCACTCTTACTCTTGCCCTCAGCTATCTCCGTATATTCTTTTTGAACAGAAGATAACAAGGTGTACAGCTGAAATAAATTAAAAGGAGATTGGGGTTCTGCATTTGGAAATTCAGCTGGATTCTGTAAATCCTTCCTCCCTAATTTAACTTTCAGAATAGCATGTTTTCCTTACTCACAGCTACTCCACAGTAATCAGGTTCCTAAAAGAATCCAGAATTCTGAAGAGTCATTGAGATACAAAGTCTTTATTCTTCATCCACAAGATCACTGAACAAGCAATTCCTCTAAGACTAAAATATTTATCTTTCTAATAAATTCTTTACCTTCTATCTGGTCTAAACATTAACCACTACTAAGTAATAGCAAGATCCGTAGATGAAGATGACAAATGTGGAAGCTAAAAAGAACCAGAATCTCAGGTCTTTGTCCTATGAAAGTACATTAACAATCAGGAGAATCCAAGTATTTTCAAATGTCTGAAATGAAAGGATTGGGTTTTAATTATGGACAAGGAAGTCAAGTCTGGCTTACACCTAGCTGCACTAAGTAGGAAAGACCTTCCAAAGAAATGAGGACACAGAAACAAGAGTAAGATACACGACATTTTTAGAACTGATCTTGTGACCTACAAGTCCCTAAAAGTTGATAAAAGATAGGAAGGATAACAGTTTTGGACAAAGAATTCTAGCTTTGTTACTTGTATTAATAGTATGCCAAGTGTGGCCTCCCTGAAGAGGATGAACAGTCAATACTTCCTTATGACATAAGATTTAGAAAAGTCTTATCTCTCGAAGCATGGAATAGCTAACTAGAGTTTAGCAGTCATTTTATACTGCAAGCTTATAAAAATACATAGTTTTAGAGGCGTTCTTATAGACATTTACTCCTCCACCCTTCACCATGTAACTATAATATGGGCAGAATATCTGCTGCCAATTCTAAAATATTTTGGCTCCCACCCACTAAGAAGCCCTCAGGAACACATTTTATTAAATTAGCAAAATCAAAATACACTAGCGTGTGAGTGACAGAGTATGAAATAAAATATTAAATTCATGTCTTCACTCCTGAGACTACCCTGACATAGTTTAACTAGTACACTGACTGTCAAATCAGCTACCTAGTTTGCATACCTAACATCCATTAAGATAAGGGAAACCTGTATTCCAGAGGAGATAAAAAAGACCAGGTGCTTTCTCTGGGAACTGAACAGGTTACTAGCACTGAGGGGCCTCCATGACTTCACAGCAGCAGACCCATAGTGCACCATCTGCTCAAATACAAATTGACAATGGCAAGTAATCCTTGTTAATAGCCGCCAATGAACAAACTGTAAAAAGCAAGAGCTAATATGCTGCTACGATTTTCCAGAGTTATGAAACAAAATATGCGGGTACCCTGACATATATGTAGCCTGATATTTCACAACAGCCTTTTCTTTCTTGCTTAGTGCCACTAAACCCTATGCAAGGCACAGACAGTCTCAAAAGTCCATACTGCTATTACGAAAAGAAAGAAATCATTAATAATATATACAGGAAAGTGTACTATTAACATCTGAAATAAGCACTTACCAGGAATGAACACACCGCAGTATTACAAAAACAGGACTTATCTATAGTATCCCATGATGCATACCTGGTTAGCTTTATTGTTTTCCTGAATTCATTAGTAATCGGAGCTTTGTAGCCTCCTTTCCTCAATAAGGAATCTATGGTTTGAATGTGGTCCCATCCTGTTGAATTTTACAGTAGTAAAAATTAGTGAGAAGTATAGCAATAAGAATAGATGTTGCAAAAATACAGTACAGTATGTAGTGTTACTGATAATGAAAGTTCTCTGCTGAAGTTCTGCATAAAACATACAACATTCTTCCCTACTTAAGAACAGCTGAAGGAAATATGACATACAGGATTTCTTTACACACAAAGCTTGCTCTACGAACAGCATATATTCAACGTGTATTTTTTATCTTGTAGTTGAAATATTTTAAAAGTGGACCCACTATATCCAGGTGTCCTAGATTGGGGGTGAGATACAAAATTAAACTTTTCTGAAAGGTTCAGGTATGATCATGTATCACAATCACTTTATACATTATAAATGGATATGACAGTATGAAAAATTAAATTTCTGTATAAAATAAAATTTAAAAGAATTATTAGTTGAACATGTGCAGAGAACTTCAGAGATTAGACTTCTTCATAAATATCACAGCTCTACAGTGATATGTCTAATTTCAGAACTACTAGTCTGGGTAATAAAAAAAAGAAGTGAAGGATTAAAAATACAGATTCATTACTGTTCTCAATAAAATCTTCATGCTATTCAAAACTCCTACTTACTGATTTAAAAGAGCCTAATATTTTAAGTAGCTGTTAGACGTGTTATTTCCAAAAGATGCAATTAGATTAGTCACATTGTTACATTAAAAAAAAAAAAAAGGTAGTTTTGAGTACATAAAAATACAAATGGTAGTTTGGGGTACTTTATAACGAGTCAGATTGCAATGCACAGTCTACTAATACTATTTAGAAATTTAAACACCATCCCCCCAATTCCTGAATTTAAAAGAAGCTTGGAAAGTCTCTAAACTTTTAAGTGACTATTTGGAAACAGAATTATCAATTAAAGATGATCCTCAGTAAAGGTTTCATCCTATTCCTTAGTAGGCCAACTCAAATATAAAAAGTGGAAAAAAAAAAAAAAGGCAGCAAAGCAAAATGTAAAAGATTGAGACACACTGTCAAGCTTGGAAGAAAAAAACAAACATAGTGAGTAGCCATAGTCAGCTGCTTGGTCCAAAAGATTACTATTCAACAAACTCTACTATAGTTTTTTTAATTCACAAACTTAAGTTGGTGCCTCTATTAAAAGGGACTTTAACAACATTATTTTGGACTTTCATATTGAAAGTAATTCCCTTCCATCCACCAAAAACCCCAGGAAGCCAGTGTTTTTAAAAAGATACTAAGTACTAGCAGAAAGTACCCAATTGGAAAAAAAAAAAAAGAACAAACCACCCCACCATAATCATTGCAAATTTAGAAATAAATAAGCTGTTAAGATAATTGACCAGACATCCCATCACTTAACAGTTTTTGCATGTCACTAATATCACAGCATAACAAGTATATGAAAATTGGCAGCTTTTAACAACTGTAGTTGGTTGACAGCACTGTACCACCCCTCCATATTTTGTCTTCCTACAGCTACACAGCATTTATGACTTGTTTAAAAAACAGCTACAGTTAACTGAATCCCTGTAAGGGGACCGATACAGGCATGTAATTGGCATTTTATATAAGAGTCTTCTTACAATTAAATATTGCTCCATCATCTGACATCAGTGCAAGGTCAAATATTGCATTTTAGATTTATATGTATGTTTAAATTCTTCACCAGATCATATGAAATAAAGTGCAACAATGACCTTGCTCCTTTGCAACCTCCGGTAAGTAGGTGGCGGTGCGTTTTGATCCTTTTTCATTGATGAATTCTATTCTAATGCCATGTACACCCACCTGCAAGAAATTGGCAGCTTTATTAGTGCACTGAAAGAAAAAAAGATACAAGAGATTTCTAACATGATAAAGCCCAAAACGTGAACCTTTCAGTGGTTAATACCATTTTGCAAAGAGTTTCAAGAGGTGGTACTGAAGTGAATGTAATCTTTTTGAAAGGTGTTCACCTTATAGCCTTGTAAGATCAGTAGCAGCACAAATACGGTCCTCAGCTCCCCACCACAGAGCTTCATCTCTGGTCTGAAGGAAAGCCAGCTGAGATGCAAAGGTCGTTCTGTCTCTGGGTTTTACTGTCTTCCTCTGACACTGTCAGCAATGTTGTTGCTGATAAAATCACCTGGTTGCCAGATATAATCTGCAGGCAACCAAACAGCTGGCAAATCTAATGATGCTTCAATTAAGAGCATTAATTTTGTTCAAAGTAACAACTGAACAATGAAAGATTTGTCACACTACGAACTCGAGCCTGGAGCCTTCAAAATTTCTGCTAACATATGACAAGGAAAAGGAGGTATTCCAAAGCTTTCAGCTTCAAACTCCTATTTCCATGCTACTTAAGTACTCTAATATGACAAAATGCCAGTAGGGAAACCAAAATTACTAATACCAAGGAGTTAGACATATATAGAGTTGAACTGCCAAAAAAAAAAAAAAAAAAAAAGGCTAGGCACCTTTCCAGGGCATTGTTTAAGCACCCCTGTTTTCAAGGTACAATAATTCTGTTGAGAGTACCTGCACTGGGATCAGGCATGCCATAAAAGATACTCCATTGCCAGTAAGTTTTCAGTTGCTTTTGAGTTCTGTGCGTAAACACAAAGCATTAGTAGATGGACATTTTTATTTTCATGCCCACATAACTAAGATGTTATTTCCATTTAAATGCAAAATTCCCAACATTGTATGTGGAAATGAATAGTTCATGTTTAAAAGGGTATGTTATTTGGTACGGCACTTCTTTTTGGACACAAAATTAATAGAAAAATGCTGTAACAGTTTTTCCAGTGACAACCTATTTTACTGTAACTGCATGACAGTCAAAAAACAAACAAGGAATATTTACAAAGCTCTACCACTTGTTCAATTAACGTATTTGCTTATATTAAGACTTTATTTTTTAATCTTTATAATCATTATATGTAACATAAGCATGGGGAAATGGGAGGAAGAGTCTCTTATGGCTGGCCATGGCCTCAACAATTTTTCCCCATGAACCTAACGCTTCTTAAATAGGAAAAATTACTTTGAGACTAATGAATTTATTAATTCACTGCAAATTTTAACACTCCTAAACCTAACTTTCATAACATATAATCACTACAGAGATCAAATCTCTATACTCAGATGATGTAATTATGAACCCAAAGGACCTGAAAGTAAAATGAAACAGTGTTAGAAGCTGAAACGAGCCTACTAAGTTTATTCCAAGAACAGAGTAAGTTTTTGCAGCTGGTGATTTTGTAACTGTCGATATTCAATTGCCTGAGCACCAAGATCAAATATTTTCAGGTTTTGCACACCTTCAAATCCTGCAGAATATTAGATTCTAAATTCTACACAACTGTTTTGCATAATAGCAACCATGTAGTATTCATGAGAAACTAACCAGAAGCACTAGGGCTGTATTAAGTATGATGCAACATTCAAGCAGTAGGTAATTGCATTGCACTGGATGTTTCCCATTAACCATTTTAATGGACTTTTAGGCCCATGTCTGTAGAAGAGAAAGATGTAAAGCAAAATGAATAGGGCAACACAATGGCACCCACAACTCCTCTGGTTCGGAAAATTTGATAGCATTCTGTGAAGCATGAATTCCAACTGCATAGCTAAGCAGTACTCCTAGTCCAGTACAAACGGCTTTTCATTGTTTAGCTCTAGTTAATCAAAACCAGGCCGGAGTTAAATAAATGGAAGCCCCACACAAGCAAAATAAGAATGATCCACGCTAAGACTGGCATGGGCACAGTTAGGAATTTATTTTGACTTCCTCAAGAGACCAACGTTCCTGCATTGATGAAAACTTCTATGAAATTTCCTAAACTATTCCTCTCTAAGATGGGAGGTAAAGGGTAGGTACACGTTTGGAAGGCATCAACTGGACTGTAACTGGCTTGCCTACCAGGCTCAGCACAGAACGTTATACAAAGCCTATGGCATACTTCTCAAAACGAAGTACTGATACACTACAGGCAAGTTTTTGTAGAATAACATCTGTCTGTGCAGTTCAGAGAAACAAGCCAAACAATCATCTTCTGCAAATGGAGTTTTACATTCTGTCTTGACTATCACTATTTATTAGGGAAATGACTACGTAGAGGTATCCTGAGCTGCTGAAAGACCACACAGTTGCCCTACCAGCCTCCCAAATGGGTAGGAATCTGTTGAGACTGTTGCTATTGGGAGAGGAAAATGAGATAAAGGAGAGACTAAGAAAGGCAACAAACCGATCTCCTCCAACAGAACTATTTTTATAGGGTTTTAGAGCCTGAAGTACTGTACACTATTTATCCAGTACCTGTAGATATAAACTTTTTGGCCCACTGTATAGGTGGCCAGAGGCTACCTAAAACTAGGTCCAGTGACACTATTAATTAAAAAACGCAGATCTTTCCCTAAATCTAAGGATTGCCTTAAACTACATATTTTATTTCTGAAGTGACCTCAACAGAACTTCAAACTTTGTTGTGTATTTATACATACTCATATTCATTTATACGCATTCTTTTTTTAATTAATCATTCATTTACATACACTATGGAACGGGGGAAAACATGTACACACATTTATTGTTTTGCCAAGTGCTTCTGGCACTTTCTAGATTATTGCCCGTAATGCCTTTCTCTCTCTGTCTGTCTCAGTTGGGCTAAGAAAGAATTGCTCCAAACCCCACCCCGAAACCAAAGTTCAAGCAACTCTCATGTTCAACTGTTCTGACTCAGAGTTCCAAATACAATTTCCAAATGTGTTCCTCATGTACTGACTCTCCAGCCGTACCAAGAGGAAGAAATAACATGATTCTCATTAGACTATCAACATGGAATTTGGATAAGCATCTAAAACATCAACGCTTGTTGAAATTTAAGCTTCTAGTCCACTGTGGAGTAAATTATCATCTAATTGTTCTGTTCAGTTTTATCTACTGCACTGAAACCTGTAAGAGATTTGCATGCAATTATCACTAATTACTTTAAGACAATTTAATTGTAAACATTTTTTCAGAAATATATTAAAGCAGATAACAAAGAACCTGTTACAAAGGATGCACATGGGATACCCCGGAGCTGGAGTAGTGCAGCCCCCTCCTTGGTGTCAGAAACAAGTGCCTGCCTGGTCCTTAAGTTCACTCCCTGTTTGCTGTTCTCCTCCGCTCAGGACTGGAGCCACGGCTCGACGGACAACCCTCACTGCCAGCGCGCCAGCGGAACCGCGACAGACTCTGCTTGCCCACTCTCAGTTCTACCAGCACAAGCGTTCACGTAACCCCATGATGAACCAGACCAGGCTGTTCTGGGTTACGGCTAATCCTTCTACTGACCTGCAGTTTGTCAGCTCAATCTCTGACCAGCGGCAAGCTATAAACATTTTCAAACAAAAAAGTTGGCCTCTAACTTGTACAGTGTTCCATATGATACCACATAACACAGTAACTTTCCCCATTATTTAACTAACTAGTACTATGAAAATAACCATATACAGACTTGTCTGGAAATTGAATGCTTCAGGTTAAGCGACAATTGCTACTTAGAAGCTGACCCCCCTTTTTATTAGCTGAATTCTACAGCTTTTTAGCCTCGCACATGTAGCAAACAAGCTGGCTTCTTTCTGATCATCTTTAGTAGGGCTTAAATATTACACTCTGATTTAACAATGGAGGCAAAAGACTACTCAGGAGATGTGTCCTCTGCTTCAGGACAAGCATTTTTTTTAACGAATCATGTATTTACATACATGGAATCACTGAATATTGTCCAAACAGAACAAAATATCGAGATCAAGACTCATTCTTCTCTGCGAAAATTTCTGGTGCCACTGCACTTGCAGGAAGGAAAGAATTTCCACAACTCTTAAATGTGCTAACTTTGTCAACAATGAAAAGCCACCTTTCAGTCAACATTATTGGCTACAACTATTTAAGCTAATATTTAAACCAGGGCATACAGGCTAAAGGCCTTCGGTATCACCACAGCAAGCATGGACAATTCTGCAGATTTTACTTTACTGAAGAACAGTGACTTCAGGGCAAAGATCTCTTTCAAGGTATTTTAAGGAAGAACCGCTGGTCGATTCTAGTTATTTATTACCCTGTTGGAATTACAATAATGTTTTCCAAAATTTTTCTTCTTATAATTACATACATTCATAATGTTTCAATACAAAAATAGGGAGAGGGTCTGAATTAGCAAGACAGGCTTTACCTTCTAGCAAAAAACCTCACAGATTCTTAATTAAATTAATGAGAAAATAAATTAAAAAGGTGTTCATTTGCTGTAACATGAAATAGAGAAGAAATTAGTAGAGGCACTTTTTTTTTCTCCTAGAAATACAGAAAAGTAAAGCAAAGCACGCAGGGGATACATTAAATCATTTGCCATTGTAATGTACCTTGCAGCTGTACTCTCTCAAGGAGGCAGAGCCTGTAGCACCAAAGCTGGAACTGCAAGACCTACAACATGATCACACCTTATATATGCCATTTCTGGAATCTGAATCCACTCACAGGACCTTCCAAGTGTAGGCTTATTTGCCCAAATTGCAGACTTCCAAGCTTCACAAACCAAACAGAAGTTCTTTCTAAAGGACCTAAAGCCATGATACTTCACAGCAACCTATTCAAACTCTTCTACATTTCTTCTTTTGGGGTGCTGCTAGCTACACACACAGTTCCCAGTGCAACACAAGATCCAAGTGTATCTGCATTAAGAACAAACTGCAAAACTGGAGGCATCCTGAGTCAGGAATTCAAATTTGTGCAGAAAAGAAAAGAGTCAGTAGAAGGACAGATCAAAAAGATGAGCTCAAGGAGAATGGAAATATGGATAGAGCTGAGTTTATGTGGGTAAAGAATGACAGCTATCAATATCAAATGTGTTTAAAAATAATTGGTCTTTATGACTTGTCTCCCAAGTAGTCCTTTGATATCTGATCTTTAATAAAAGAGCAGTAGTATCAAAAAAGGAAACATATGTTAGAGTTTCTCATGTTGCCCACCTCTTTGAGATGGAAAGGCTGTGAAACTCCACCCCAGCAGCAACTGGACCACAGCAGCGTTTCATGGGTTCTGTCTAGCAGAAATGAAGAACCAGTTCATACACTCCCAGTGTTCATTTCAAAGCCCTACATCTGTTCAGCTATTAAAGTGCACTGCAATTCATATGAAGTCATATGTAAGTCAGAACACTAAATTATATTTTAGGAAGCATCCTCATGAATGATGGCATTGAAGTGGTCCTTTAAAGGTTTGTACTTTCTCCTAGTTACTTTTATAAAAAGTGAAAACGGCAGCAATTTGTAAAATCATATGGGAGCTAATAGCAGTCAATTCACTCATATCTCCTGTTTACTTGGTTGAAGTTTCTGCTGCAAAAGGATGTCACATTGCTTTTTACAACTGAAATATTAATTTACTTAGTTTGGGAAGATAATTCATTAATCAGAGAAAAGAAGCTCTATCACTCTGCTTCAGGATATAGGAGACACTCCTGAGCCGTGTCTTCAAATGATCTTGTCTCCAAGCCACCGGAGCACTGCGAGTTGTCTGAATTGGCAATTCTGAAATATTGTGATCTCTGTCAGCAAACTGCTGAATTGGCTCCCAGAAGATCATCAGTAGCATACCTACAGAGGTAAGGTCTCCTAACCAGGCTGATGTTTTTCAGGATGATCTGGAAATTAGCATTATACGAGACGAAAGATGCAGAATCTCTTTACATCATACTCTAGACGTCCTGAAATGTCTTTCTGCCATTAATATTGTGTAACTGCAGCTCCCTTAAAAGAAACATGGATGACATAAGCTATCTCACTGACAGGGGCACAAACAGCAGTGAATCATTCTTTTAAGAGCCAACAATTACAAATTTTGTCCTTCTCATATTTATACACCACCACCACCCCTTTTGCACGGAAAGCTTGTGGCTCATGAAACAGCTTTATATGACACAATCACTTAAGAAGCATGTTTAACTTATAGGAAAAAAGGAGAAAAAAAATCATGAAACCTACTTTGTGACCATTTCTTAGAATTCCTAGGAATTTGCTAGAGGTTTTAAAAACCTATCATTAAGAAACCTTACGTGAAATAGGAGAGAGCAACAAAGCAAATGAGTAACACAAGAACTATTATATTTCTGACCCCTCCATTCTTCCCTCCTAAGTCAGGGCTTTTCAATAAGAAGAATCGTGAGAATCCATAAAATCAGTCAGAACTGAGCAAGGCTACAGTTCTGCATTGTGCTTGTTTACACTGTTGTTGAAGTCTCTAGGATTCTGCAACAAGATATAGAAAGGACATAGAAAGTAAAAGCCTCCTTTGTTTCATACAAGTCTTAAAGTTATGAATCAGAAATCTCCCAAGAAGCAAAGTTAAAACCAGTCTTTCCAAGGGAGAGTGGATTTTTGAACTCAGGCTTTGGTTTCAGCTTCTCTTTAAGGATGAATATTTTGGTCATCTTCAAAGTTTATTGTTGAAAGAATAAAATGGCATCTAATAATATTAATAGACTACCACATGGAAAGAGCTAAATGCTATTTCATTATGCACTTCACGCTTTTAGAGAGACATTTTCTGAGTGTATTCATAGTCTGATTTTTAATAAATTATAATAAATGAAATTAAACTGAAAACATCACAATGGTCACTATCAGAAGTCAACCTAGTAAAGCAGAAAAATTCTACTAGTTTTCATTTTGACTTCCAGCTTGGTTTAGTATTAAAAGTCCCCACAGTTTTGATTACTTGAAAACATTGTTTAAAGCACTCCAACAGCTCAGTGACAAGACAAAACTACCTCTCTGAAAAAAGCTTCTTGTTGAGAACGCACACACACAGTTTCAGCTAAGATTTATTTTTGGTCTGACATTACATAAAAAAATGAGTAATTCTGATTATGGTGAAAATGCTGATAAACCCCAAAGGAAACTTGCATTCATCTCATTCAGAATTACATATCAGAAGGTAAGAAGCCTTTGTCATTATGAGTTGAACAGAAAATGCATTTTTATTAGATTTTCAGCTACTGTAAAATTCATAATGCTGAGATTACTGCTGGGTACCGCCATTCTGATACAGTAGGGCCTCTTACCATTTTAACAACAAATTAAATTTCTATTCAATATACATTTGTTATATGTGAATACAATAGAAAGCCTCTTTTTCTCTTAAAAAGGCCTAAATATTTCATAGAGCCAAGTCATTATTAAAGGGAAATACTGTAACTTGTGTGGTGTCTCTGGCATTGTAACATGTCCACTATCATATATGACAATTTCAAAATTTTTTTTATGTCCACTCAAATATAGACTCAAAGGGTAACACAACAGTCATACTGAGATGAGAAGTTCGTCTTAAGTAACTTGGTTTTTTTGCAAGTGTCTAATACCAAATAATTTTGGAAAAAGCCGAAGAATACAAAGTAACCCTTCCCTTCAGCATACCTTCCCAGAAATAATTCTAAAAGCAGCATTTGCTCCTTAATCTCTTTTATGCTGCTGTTCCAAGAAAATGCATGCACATTTCCTAGAACCTAACAATTAAAATAGATTCAGCTCCATGCATAAGTAGCAAAGAAAAACAAGAGCAATGATTTACTTGGCCTCACTGTGTAAGGACCTTGTGGGGTCTGTGCAGGCCACTCTGAAAGCAAAGAAAGTTTTGGGAAAGATCGATGGCTCACTCCTACAAGCTAAATAAGGCAGCTTGTCTTGCGATGGCAATTTTTTGCAGTGCTTGTTTCCAGAAGCATACATCAGACTATTAACTTTCATACTGGAGCACCCTCTTCTCAGAATCAATGGCCTGATCTCCCACATTTCTGTAGTTACCTATGCTGCAAAAGAGGCCTCAGGACACCATCACTCAGACAATACCTTGCTTGATGGAGTCTTAGACATAAATACAGCTGTGCAGACCACTCTTTCTCTGAATGCCTAAGTGGGCAAAAATACAACTTCATTCCATTTTCCTGGCTCAGACTTTTAAGGTGATGATGGTTCTATCAAAAAGGATCTTTTGAATCTGTGCACAAAACAATGTGTATAGAGTGCAAACCAGTGACAACTACACTAAACATATGCAGATAATTTAAATGGTGTGACTTCTGCTTTAGATGTTCATGGTATCAAAGTAATTTTCTTAAAAGGTATCCAACATCCTTACCTCCCAGTCCATGTAGTCACATACATCTTCAAAGTTAGTGAGTAGAGACACTGAGCAGAAAAGCCGTGGCAGCTCATCCCTCGTCATTGGGGGGAAACGACTATCTTTAAGGGCACTGTTGAAGACAAAACAGAATTTCAAAGGATTTTTTTGTTTGTGTTTTGGGGTTTTCGTTTTGTTTTGTTTGTGTTTTGGGGTTTTCGTTTTGTTTTGTTTTTAAGTTCAAAGATCTAATGAATCAACTGAAAAGTATAAAGGACAAAAAAAATCCTGATGAAATGATGACCAGTTTGATAATCCAGTTGCCAGTCTAACACTGACCAACATTCCCAACTGTTTCCTTAGACATCTGTTTCAATTCTTGGCTGGCCAGTCAGGTGGCGTTCTGAGGGTCATTCCTTCCTGAGCTGATTTTGCTACTGTGACTATCTTATTAATGAAGCAGCAGAAAGTTTTTGGAAAAAGTTACAGAAGCAATAGCTCTTCTACTTGCAATTTAGTAGATCCCTTTCAAAAAGGATTAAGCTATACAACAAAGTAGAGAGGGAAATTCTATAGGCTGCAATAATCAAACACATAATACAGTAATCAAACTGTAGAACTTAATTATTCGGGGGGGGGGGGAAATCCAAACAAGCAGAACACTCTCCAAAAAAGAATATTATTCGTGCTTATTGTGTGAATATAAAAAGAGAAAAACATCCAAGGGCTCTACAGACCTGTAAACCTACACGACTTGAAGATGTTCTGCAAAGCAGAGGTAACAATTAGTAACAGCGAAGCTTGCAAACAGGTAAGCTAATCGTCAGGCCAACGTACCGTTCTACAGACAAACACACACCTAATGGGGTAAAATTCAATACAGAGAGGACCTATCTGTGCACATTCCAGCACGCTTTGAAAAACAAAGCGGTTAACAGCAAGCGGTACCACAAGTAAGAACATTTGTAAAAACCTACTTACATAAGTTTGGTTAAGAACCAGTTAAATTGGAAAAGGGAAAGTTAACATGAGTATGGTATCTCATAATTTTTTATTCTTTTAAGATTTGAAATCTGACTTGTATGAATACAAACATGCTCATCTCCAACAAAGCCAGTGATCTGCTAACTGAACTTCCTGATGAGTAAAGAGAATTTAAGATTAAGGGACTTACTAAAGTACTACCAAGTTCTTCACGTGTGTCATTGTTTCATCTAACAATTAGTTCATTCTTACACATTTTACTTGGCATACAGTCAGTGGTTGCCATTAGTTGATATAATTACAGCCATGGCCATGGTGTTTAGAATATGGCTGAAGTCTCTGCATCAGATACCACCATTTTATACAAAGAGTAGTATAACTTTATTAAAGCAGACCAAATAAGGACGCATAAGCAAAAAAATGTAAAGTTTAGCTAAAGGAAACAAGATGGGTGAATCATGACAGATTTGAATACTGATAAAAAGCTGAGATACGAAACCTTCACGTGAACACAGTGGAAGCACAAAGGCACACAAAGGCACAAAAGCCTCAGGCATATACCGCAAACAAAAGTCGTTCAGTTTTAGTGAAAGCAGAGCAATGCAGCAAACATTGCATACTTATTAGCAAGCTTAGCTGGCTAATTCCATTATTTAATAATATGACAGTGGCCCAAATACCTTGCTTTCACGTAACTACCTTATGATAACTAAAATATTATCAAATGATAGTGCCATTTCAACTATACCTAGTTCCTTCAGAACTGCTAGGTGCTATTTTATCTGTACAGCCTGCTGAAAAATTGCTCCTCAACACCTCCATGACTAAACACATCTGTGCGCATATCCTGTACTAGCACTCCTGCTGCTGAAGGTAAGTGAGATATCTGGCAGAACAAGATCAGAGATTTGAATAACGGTCTCTGACACTGTTGTGACTGGTGAATACAGAATACTGCTGCTATTCTACTCCTCCTTTCCCCGTCTCCAGACACCATAGTACAGTTTGTTTTCATTTTTCAAAACAGCTTTGTCTCTCTTGCTACATAAGTAAAACCAAAATTTACCTGGAGAAATTTGTGTTGACAAACGATCAGCAATTGGAACAAAACATACCGAAGGGAGATGCCAACAAGAAAGCATTTATTTGTACTGGTTAGCTACACATGAAGTATGCTGTCTGCTAATGCAAAATTTACAAAACTAACATAGTCCAGCAATTATAACAGGTGCCAGTTTTAAAAGAACTAGCTTAAAACTTAATAACCCTGCCCTAATGAGTTTGATCTAGGTGCATCATATACTACTTTAAAACTTGGAAATGTTTACCTTTTAAGTGCTGTATATTACAGTTAGAGCATCATTCATCTTCTCAATCATTCTTTTATTACCACCATGGTTGAAACTCTAAAGTTCCAGATACCTTTTGAAAACCTAAGAGCAGAGCAACTTCATATCATCTCGTCACAGATTAACTGTTTTCTGTTTTGCATTTTTTTAATGCTTGGTTAGCAGGAGACATATGTCATTAGAGATGCTTCCTGTCAGAATTCAGCCATTATCCTTAAGCCTATATTTTATCTTTGTGGGTAGTGAATAAATCACTGTCTACTGACTGTTCTGATGATGTCAGTAAAACAAGTGGATGGTGTCCATTGGAGTTCCTCATGGGCAGCTGTGCTGTACAAAACCTAAGCTCTCAATGGTTAACAGATTGGCATGACTCTCAGAAATGTCAGCAGATCTCAAAACTTACCAAAGACAAAAAAGCTTGCATGAGCTTTTACTTTAGTTGTTCCTGTTCTGGGAAGAAAGAATATCGGTTTCTAGAGGCAGCAGTTTGGCACTTATCATACGCTCCATACACTCTACAAAGACATATATATGTAAATTCAGACTTTAGCCTCACTTCTCACGTTAGTATATGCCCTTTGGTGACCAATTCAAAGCAAGCACAAAATACAGACAAGATAACATATGCTCATTTTTTTCAAAAGCTTGTTACTGGTCTGAGCTGTTCAGAATGAAAAGTCACTGTATAACTGTGTGTCGAAATTCTTGGTTAGTAGAGGAGACTTTCTTCTGTTTATTTGACGGAAGCATTATTTTTGTAGTATTAGAATGTGATTTTACAATCTCATTCAATGTCATATTCTTCTGTTAATTATTCCGTTAGAAAGACAAAAGGATTCTTATGGAACAAAATCTGGCATATTAGATAGCACTTTTAAAAAACATTAACTCCACAATTTTTCTGTTAAACTTAGAATTAAGGAAAGGTAAGTGGAAATAATTAGTAAAACAAGTTGGAAAAATTCAGCAGAGTTCAAAACTACTTTTAAAGAAAAAAATACTAATTTTAAAAGCATTTTCTAAACCATCCGTTCTTTATTCCTTAATGCCCAGAAGTAATTTACATATATTGCTGCTGACTAAATGGAAGTACACAGCAGTGAAGAGTTGAAAAGAAGCAGTGCCAAGCAAGGGGAATTCTAGCTGGCCAATAAAAGGACATTAGTTTTTCCACATGGAGTTCTGCTCCATGTTAAAAGTGAAGCAGGCAAAGTCAAAATTGAATCCTGTTCAAAGAAAACTATTTTTAGACACAAAATGCATGCACACACACGCACAGCCTTTCTAGTTAAATATTTATGCAGTCTTGGGTGTCCTACTAAGATCAAGTAATTGCCACTCAAGAAAAAAAAACCTAAACAAAGTGTTACTCAACTATCAGTTTTTCTTCAGCTGAGCTATGCTATACAAATCTCTGCCTCTCCTCAAATGAAGTTTATTTGGCCATAAGCTCTCCAGAAATGTTTTTCAATAATTTCATTTTCCATGTACCACTCCTCCTTGTATTTGGGACATAGAAAAGCTTGCAAACGCTTTAAAGACACTGAAAATATTTCAACAAAAGGAAATTGTTCAAAGTATTTTGAGTTACCATGACAAACAGCATGATGTTTAGCAAAAAAAAAAAAAAAATTAAAGTTTATATTTCTTAAGACTGCATCTTGTTTTTGTAAAATGCCACCAGAGAAGCTCTCGGAATCATCTGAAATAATAGTATGAGCAGATGAACCAAAATGCAATACATCATTGTGTTGTCCATCTGTAATTTCTGTAGGCTATAAAAATGCTTTGAAAAAAACAAAGCGTCAGCTTCAGCCTTAAAGAACCTATGGCTCTTAAATGTCATGCGGCAGATGGGTAACAAACCGTAGGACACAAATTGGGGAAATAAGAAATAGTAATGGAGTTACATTACTCAGTTTAGAAGTGCCTGAAAATCTTTATGACTGAATTTAAAGGATCCTTTTAAAAAGTTTGATAGCATATAAGTATCAAAAATAGTAAAGAAGGATTTAGGTGTAGATGAATGAAGGTACTAAATGAATTACATTCTTAGCATTTTATTGTTTGTTATTTAATGATGATTAGTAACAAAGAATTTTCTCAGTACACCTCTTTTTGGGGGACAGTCACATCTACAGACACAAACTGGAGAGAGAGTTTAGGCAAAATTGGATACAATTTTGTACATTATTGGAAATTACTTTGGGGGCTTAAACATGACACAGGGGAAGGACATGTAAAGGCAACTGTCAAACACTGGGCATGATGTAAGTAATACTCACTTTTATAGGAACTGTAAATGAGGCAGAGACATTAAGTGACTCATGCAATTTAGGAGGCTTGCACAGTGAGTCAGTGACAGACTCAAGAATAGAATCCAAGATCCCCGACTCCTAAAAAATCTACTTTCTGTGACAGCCTCTCCTTCACAATCTGCTCAACCTACCATGTAGAAACATAGCTCCCAGAGGATTAATCAAAACAGAACTGGATTAATTTAATTAAATTCACCAATTAAAAAAAAAATAACTTTCCCATTATTTTTTCAGTTCACTCTGCTATTGTCAATTTTCTCCTAACCAGTTTCCAATATTGAACACAGCTAAACCAAACCATAATTTTTTGGCATCTAAACCATTCTTCAAATGTCATCAGTAGAGTTACAAAAATAGGCTAAAGATCTCATTTTACAAACTATTACCCTCTTCTGATAAACAGTACATTGGCACTACTGTTAGATGGCAGGCAAAGGACTTAAATTTTATTTGCTCTGAAAACGCCTTTCCACTTAGCT